GAGTTTGGTATTTATTCACACCCATGGGCTTTTGATAAATTTACTTCATTAGTGGTGTCTTCCTTTTCTTCAGGAGATCAACAGCAATGAAGGCAGCAGTTCTGCAGTGCAGGATGAGCAAGAGGAAATGCCAACCCTGTCTCCACAGCTGACCAGTGTAAACAAAGATTCTGGAGCTAAGGATTCATTTTTGGAATCATGCCTGAACTATTTCAGTGCCTCAGCTTCAGGTGAAACTGTCACTACTGTCAAGCAGGAAAAAATACCAGGACCAAATGGTTTAGAAGATGGAGTTCCCAATGCACTTCATGGAACCACAGAAGGGGAAGGGTCTAGGACAATTCTTCGTAGATCCAAAGGAGATGATGATGGAATTGAGTCAGACAGTGGCAATTTGACACATGTCCAAAGGGTAAACCTTGAAAAGTCTGATGAAACTTCTGCCTCTGGTATAAATTGTGTGATGTCTGACAGCCAGACCACGTTAGGTGGTCTGGGGAAGGGGGCTGGACACTCAAATGAAGAGACACCAGAGAGGCCACAGAACTCTAAGGAGACTCCCAAAAGGAAGCTAGTGGAGACCCCAGCTGATGCCATGATTGACTTGGACATGCTTGATAAGAGGAGAAGAACCTTTTCAGAAAGTGTAGAAGAGCAAGGAGAGCAGATGAATGATTTTAACTTGCAGACACAAAGAGCCTTTGAGCAGGAGTTCTATGAAAGGCGCAGGCAGGAGGAGCAGGACAGGCTCTTGGCTCTGCAGCTGCAAAAGGAGCTGGACAAGGAGGAAAGGACACTGAACCGACAGAAGGGCTCTCCAGACGAGTATCTGCTCCGCACCAAACCACCCCGCTCTGGGAAAGACTCTTCTGCCAGGAAGGGAAGCTCCAAGGCAAAAGACTCAAAGGGATCAAAAACACAGGCTGAAACCAATCACTACAAGTCTCGGAAAGGTTCCTGCAATGAAAACTGGCAGTCCCCTGCCAGGGTCCGGGTGAAATCCCCCAGCATCAAGGAAGGAAAGGTTTTGAATTGTGTGGTTAATACCAGTGACACAAATGATATTTGTTCACTGCCTAAGAACAAGCAAAAGACAATCCTGCAGATGTTTAAAAGCCCTGTTGCAGAGTAGATCAGAGCCATGGACATGTGGTGGAATAGGAATGGGAACTGTGGTGATGTTCTTCTGTGCTAGGCAAAGCTTCCCTAAGCAGTTTTGAGTGGTTGCTTTGGAGGGGAACCACTCTGGGCAACAGTGCTGTGAGTTCTGAGATGTTCTAGTAACATATACCCCCAGAATGTAACATTTTAAAATTGTTCTTTTCTTGATTATTATTTTCTAGCACTTGCAGCACTTCTTGCAGGAATCAGAGCATTTCTTATTTTCTAACTTGCATTTACATGGTTTGGAGTGTGAATACTGGTAGTGTTGGAAAACAAGGATAACTGATGGTCTGATCTAAAAATGAGAATTTGAAGCCTTTAATGGAAAAGATGCACATTCCATGGAGGAAACAAATGAAAAACGAGCCTGTATTCTCAGCTGGCTGTCAGCTGCAAGGTTGAAGCTTCCATCAGCACAACCACTGTTCTGTAAATCAAAGCACGTTGCTGGAATTTAGGCTGTTGCTGGAATTGCATTGTTGGCACACCCATTAACACGAGTGTAAGCAGACAGTCACTCTTTCCCTCTCATATGGTAACCCCTCCCTTGGACAAAGAGGAAAGAAACAGGTCATTCTCCACTGCCAAAGCCAAGGATCTTCATGGATGCCAAGGCTCTGGGCTCCCATTCACCTCTGTTCACAGAGATCCCTCCTGCAGATCCCATTTTCCCTGTTGTTGAGAACAAGATACTTCTGTTTTCTTGTTAATATCCTGTTAATTGTACATGTTAATGTACAATGGTGTTACTATACATAATGCTGTTTAATTTTCATACTCAAACTGGTTTGAGTGTGATTAAAACAACAGTCCAGAAGCCAGTTATGATGGAGAAAGGTGAAAGGGAAAGAAGCAACTGAAGACTGGAGTTGTCAGTAATGACATAACATGACAGTAATTAGAGATTCATATAAGTGCCCTGCCTGGCTATAACTGTTTTCCTCCATTTTTAGAGGCACTACTAAATACTGTTCCTGTTGGGTTTAAAACTAAAATAACTCAAACTGTAATTTAGATGTGGAGGTGCTGAGGCCTGTAGGAAGTTGAGGCTGAGGAAGAGGCAACCAGAGGAAGTTCTCTTGCTAATTGTTTAATCTGTTTTCTGAAGCCATATTTTAGCTTTTCTTTGCTTCTTTGGAGCTACTTTTGCACTGTCTGTGTTTGAAATGGAGCCAAGTGCCAGCTGCAGTGCTGAAGGGTGTGTGCTAGTCATCAAAGTCAGAAAATGTTTGAATTTTGTCCTTTATTTGAACCCCATTGAGCACTTTAATTCTGTTATAGGGCATTCCTAACAGACTAGTTTCTTCAGCAGCATCTTTTGATTGTTAAAGTTTTAAAAAAAGAAATTTTGTGGAAAGCATGACCAGCACACTGAGCCAAAAATATGAATTGTTGGGTTTTTTCCCCCCCCAAAGCCTGCACCTCTTTATCATTGGTAGGCTTCTCATAAATAAATGTTCTGTTCAGAGATGTTTTTTGAGGAAGTTACAACAGGTGACTAGTGGCAAATCCTTAGCTTTTTCTCCTGCTGCCTCAGCCATTGTTCTGGAAGCTTTCCTTCAATATGGGTCTGTTTTTGCATAATCCTTAACACAGTTGGGATTCTTTTCTGATGTTAAAAAAAAAATTAAAAAGTTTTTTT